TGTTATGGAGATTTATTTTATAAGTGCCGTACTGACAGAATAAATTTCATTAAATGGAAAAGGGAGAGTCGGGTTTGGCCTTATAATCTAAAGCTCTCTTGAGGCATTTGCTACAGTAATGAGAAGTGGTATATTATCAAGGCCAGGTGACTAAATTTGAGTTGGAAATATATAAACCCGCCGTGGCACGACACGTTCACGCGTCGTATACCGAGAACCATTTTAAGGTAAACTTAGAGGGATTGATATCTTTCGTATGCCTAGCGCGCAGACGAGATTTTATAATTTCATAGTTTTAAACGGCCTAAATACCTTAACTCGCTTAAAAAATAACCAGCTATAACGAAATGGGCACAGAAATAAAATCTAACATCATTAAATTATTTTTCATATTTGTATAAAAGCGCGGGGTGAAACCAGCGGGTATAAGCTAGTATATATATATATATTTTTGTTATTTTATGGCCTTATAACAATTATATTCAACAATTTTTATTGAGCTCGAGGCCGTTTTTTAATGAAAACTTATGGAATTATTGTTGCTTTTCCACAATAAGTTTTCATTAAAAAACGGCCTCGAGCTCAATAAAAATTGTTGAATATATATATATACTGAGAAGGAAATTCTCCCATTTGGAAACATTTTGATTTCAATTTTAAAAGGTGTCGGTGGCCATTTTAAATGATTTATATAAATAACATGTAAAAAATATGTTATACATTTTTAACCATTAAAAATTTATAAAAAAGGGATATAAGGTTTTTCTGGGCATATTCTTGCAGGGCATTAAATTCTCTAAAAAATGACCCTGAAGTTGGTTGTCTTAGGGACGATTAAGAGTATTAAATATGATAATGATATTGCTGAACGAGGTATAGCATTGATACAAAATTATAATCCAACTTTGACGAAAGACAAAGAACAAAAGCAATTAATTACTTTTGCAAGTAATACAAAAAAATTAAATAATTTAAATATAAATAAATAGTGTTAATATGTGGCGGTCTTATAATTATGCAACGTAGTGGACAATTAACTTCCTTGACTTGTGTTTAGAGAAACTTTGAATTGTTTATTTATTCGTAATTTATGTGTTAAAATAAATATAAAAAAAGTTTGTTTGTGTTTTCAAAGTGGAGAATTTGTCCTCCTGAAATGTTAAAAAATTCTGGTCTATTGGGCATATTGAATACATTTTCCTTAACAAGTTTATTAATTGTATCATGAATTTTCCAAAACCATAAAATTTGGATTACATCTCTTATTATTATTAAACGTGGGACATTTTGGCAAGTTTTAACATTTAATTTTTTTGTTGTTTAATTTTGATTATTTTTTTATAAAGATATTGTTTCCGAAACATACTACAATTGTTACGTTCCATCTAAAATTAAACATAAAAAAAAACAGTCAGCTGATTGAAATTGTTGTCAATCAGCTTACTTTGAAAGCACACTACCAAAAACGCATTGCCATTAGGATTTAATTTCAATAAGTTTTTTACTAATTGGGATATTTAGATTTAGGACATAAGTTAAATTTTTTAAAGTGAAATTTCGGAATTTTTTCTGGGTTCTTTTTAATTTTTTTTCGGAATATCCAAAAAGCTAGGAGCCTGATCGAACAAATAACTTTCCTATTATATTCAGCGGACTCGAAAGCATATTATAAGATCTTACAAAACTTAAATTTCCGGGGGTCGAAATAACACAAACGGCAATAACACAAAATTTGCTTTATTTCACTTTTAAATGGGAGATAATACCAAAATCTGAGTTTTGCTTTATTTCCAACATAGGTTGCAAGCTTTTTAATATGTTGAAAACATTACTGGAAAACCTTAAAATGTTTACATGGAACCATGGCGCAATAAACAGGTGAGGTAATAAAACAGCTTTATCACTTTCTGACATCCGGCTGTCCTATAGTCGCATTTTATAGGCATGTTTTCAAATAAGGCAGGCTGACTTCCCAAACTGTTACACTGCGGTATTCAAACTGTTTGTATATGGAGAGTTGCGACACATTGCAACCATATACATTGCATATTTAAAATATTCAATATAGCAATAAATTAAGATACAAAAATTTAATCTTACCCTTCGAAGTCGGCCATTGTTTACTTCGAAATGTCATCAAAGTATCAATTAGCTTAGCGATGCGCAGTTTGCTTTCTGTATTCGCATCAATAACTTTTACAATACATTTTGGGACATGCCACATCGTCAAAAATTACACATTTGCATTTAGGAATGCGTGACTTTGTATAGTTGCTTTGCAACTGACGTTTTGGAGCTCAGCCGCAGTGTCAAAATATTTCTTCTCACTCTAATATTACTTCACTTGGTATAATTCCACCATGCACTCAGAAAAATCGGGGTAGTACTTTCAAAAAACTAATTTTTTTCAGTTTTTTTCACTAGAAATCTATATCTAAAGTGACGAATTTTGAAATGGTTCGGAACTATAGAAAAAGGGATGCAGAACGAACTAGATCTTATTTGTCGAATTTAGAACTAGTTCGGAACTATCGAATAAGGGATGCAGCGGGGGGCTTGTTTACTTTACATAGATATGTGTTCGGCGGCTTTTTCGTTCAAATACGCTTCTATTCTGTGCTTGGCTGATGCTTTTTCATAGCTTGGTAATACAAAACTAAAATTTGTGTTAACATTTCAACATCTTGGGACAGTCTGGAATCTAAGAAATAACAGCGAGCACCTCTGCAAACTCAGCTGCAGCTAAAGGTATGTAAACGTACATTTCTTACAATCATTTAAACAAATTTAATTTCAAATTGAAAACACATTTCTTCCAAAACAACTTAAAATCGCACACACGGAAGAACCAAAAAGATTGAAAAATCATGATACTTTTTTCTTTCGCTTGTCGATTTTAGAACTGGTTCGGAACTATAGAATTTAGGACTAGTTCGGAACTATCGAAAAAGGGATGCAGCGGGGGGCAACTGACACTTCCTAGGACATCGCCATGTTAATATCGCGAACCAGTACTGGGTCTAAATGCACTAGAAGCGCACCAGTTCAGAACTAGAGATTTTCCCCACAGGGAGACTACTGCTTTAGATTCTGCGATCGCAGGTTCGAATCCGATTGGAGGTGGTTAGAGTAAGGTAAGTCAATTATTTAAATTTAAATATAAATAACAAATTGTAAAATTAATTTCTTATATGGAAAAACCTAAATACTCAAATAACACAAAAAATAAATTAGATAATTTTTTTAATATAATTTAAAAAATTATAATTAAAAAACAAATAAAAAATAAAAAGAAATAAAAAAAATCCTGCTCTCACTAGAACCTTGCATATCCCGACTAGCACTCCAGAGCTTTGCTCTGTCGGCCATTGCCTCTGTTAGAGCACCGCGAGCAAAATAACATACTTATTCCTTTCACGGGTGGCAAGTAAATTTTTCCTAAAAATTAAAAATTGTGATTTCCTTAAACTGAGTCAAATCGTTTGCTCATATTAAGGCAGCCATGTCATTGGAGCCATTTCAAGGTAATATTTCCTTAGAATAATATACTTTTTCCTAGCATCATGAGTGTGGGTGGGGTGCATGCAATAACACCATACGCAATAATTCCCATTACTTGGACAATAAAAAGCAATTTCAGAAATGAACTAGTGTCATTTTATTATTATTCTTTTTTCTAAACGGTTATAATGACAGCAGTGCATAATTGCGAAAGGAGGGGAGCAGGCGGGGGACGCGAGCGCGACGTCGAACGCGGCGCGGGGCGGCGCGCGAACGCGGACCGCCGCGACGCTGGGCACTTTCAAAATTGTATACTTACAAATCCGTCCATTTAACTTGTTCAGGTACTATTTTTTGTCAAATGTAACTGGGTGACTACATATGTGCATTATTTTGCTTTATTACTCAATTTTTAAGTTTAAAAGTTGGTCTTATTGCTCAACGAGAAATGAAATAAAGCAAATTTGTGTTATTTCACATTCAATTGGGAAATAACACAAATTTGCGTTATTGCCGTTTGTGTTTTTTCCATTATGTTTATTCCTTTATCTCAAATTAATTGCACTCAGCCTACATACATATTCTAGTAAAAGATTAAATTCTACTTTTTTCTTATTCGTTTTCTAAAAATTTCAAAGTAACACTAATGGTAGTGCCAATGTGGTTTCGACAGAACTTCCTCGGACATAACACTTTTGACGAGCCTCAAAGAGTTCCCCAAATTCTAAACTCTCAAAATCTCAATAAACTCCACCCCATCAATGGGTAATATCACTGTCACAGATATCACATATGATTTTTGGTCCCAATGGGAGGCGGATAAGGCGTGTCGCACAGGGGGTAGAGTACAGATTCCTCTATATTAAGATACATTTTTTTTTCATTTAATACCCAAAATCGATACTACCGTAGTCGAAGAAATCACATATAAATTATGGCCCCGATTGGAGTCGTTTAAGGCGTGTCGCAAAGGGGTCAAGGACCATATGCCTCTAAGGACTCAAAAAATTAAAAACATTTTTTTTTTTATTTCTTGTCCAAAATCGATGCTGCTAAAAATGGGACAACACATAAAAATTTTATTTCCGATTGGAGTCGGTTAAGACGTATTCATAGGGTAATCGGAAACTTGACCGCTGTGCGATACACCTTAACCGACTTCAATCCGGACCAAAATTTATATGAGAAATCTTCGACTATGGCAGTATCGATTTTGGGTATCAGACGGGGAAAATTATTAGTTTTAATTTTTTGAGTCTCCATAGAGAAATCTGAACTTTGCTCCCTTTACGGCACGCCTCAAACGTCTGCAATCGGGACCAAAATGTATATGTGATATCTTCGACTATAGTAGCATCGACGTAAGGGTTGAGGCTTAGGAAATCTGATGTAAAATTTTGCTTCCTGCATTTAAGAACCACCCTAATATATTTACATACATATATGTACATATGTATGTACATCTTTAAGAAGTGATTAGTTATTTGCAACGCACCTTTATTAAGCGGCTTTGGATTTAATTGTTTGCGTCGGGACATTGTACGCCAGGAAAAACCTCAATTGGTTGCAATTCCAAATTTAATTCAGCAGCTGCTAAGAATTTTGAAACAATTGAAATGAATTGAAAACAATTCAGCAGAAACAGCGGTATTACTTACAATAATTATGATGCAAACATTTTATAGTCACTTCACTGAATATAGGTTATAATTTGAATTGCAACATTTCCAACAATTTTAACTTTTTAATTTGTTTTTTTTTGTTATTATTTTTAACTGCCTCCTTCTTTTTCCTTTCCTTCTATTTTTTATGTATGTAATTTAAAACGGATACGGATGCTAAATTTGTCTTAGTCATTCATACACAATTATTGGTGTTTACGTGAATGTATTCAAACAAGGTTTGTGGTATTTTATTTAATATTTTAGCAACGGGTATTTTACTTTTCACATTAAACCTTTACAAAATTAATTTGTTTTTATTTTACCACATATTAACGCTTAAGCTGCAAAAGAAAACCGCATCGGCAACTGCCTATCATAAACAAATCATTTCGATTTTAACGACACACGCACAACGTGGCGCTGATCCTCCATAAATATTATAAAAACACGGCAAATAAATATTAGCTTCAATAAATGTTTTGAGCTTTTTCGGCCGATTTTAGCATGTTAAAACAAATTCACCAATTGGTGTTATAAAGCGTATGGGTAACATTGCCCCATAAACAAAAGAAAATATAACACAATCGAATTGTACATAGACCAACCGACGGCGTTAGTATTGCAATCACCGATCAAATAACATTTTTTACAAATATAACAGTGACAACGCTGCCAATTGAACGATTCATGTACCGGAATTTAAAGCTTTAACATTTTTTTTTTATACACACATTCACTGTTTTGCCCGGGCCCCTTTGGTCGAAATTATCGCACAAATGTTGCATTCTTTAGGAAATTTACTTTACTTACGCATCACCCGGTAAAATATTTTAACTGAAACTTTATAGATACACTATAATGTAAAAATTTAAGCTGTTTTAAATGTTTTCGTAGGAACAAAACTTAACTAGGTCGTTTACGAAACGTTGTGAACAAAGTAATCATATGTGCCAAAACAAATTTTTTTTCCGAAAATATAAACTTTTCCATAGAAATTTAATATTGATGTTGCCACCCAAATCATAGAAAAAAATACTGCTATAAAAATTGGTTTTTGTAACGTGCGCGATTTTCGCGGAAAGGCACATATGTAGAAATATACTTCGAAATTAAATACAAAAATTGCGGGTGGTAATAAAGATTTTAAATACTAATCAACTGTGTCGTAAACTAGGCGCGAATCACTGCACACGCCACAGTCTATAATTCGTCCGATAACGCCCACATAGTTATATAAGTCACCAAAAAAAAAAATAATTTGCCAACAAATAATCAACGTCTAACCGGCTATGCGCCAAAAACCCGGGAAAAAAATCTTAAAGCTTATTGAAATCGCTGAAGTCCAAACCAGCGTCGAATGAATCGAGACGAGCGACTGCCGCTAAAGCAAACACACTAAAGCGCAAGAAATCGAAACAAATTGAAATCGAATGGTGTGGGAGCCATGGGGCGAAGGCAAGCGGTGGTCGCTATGGAGTCAACAACAGAAATCAAGCGCAAAATGTCAAATCGAAGCATCGCCAAAACAAAACAAAACTCAAGTACAGGGAGCATTGAGAGACGTCGTGTAGTAGATGGGCAGCAGTGTTGCCGCGACATCACGAAAAAATTTATAGTAAAAAAACCGAAAATTGATCAAATGTATCACTTAAAACTTAACTTGGTTTCATACCTTTGATTTTCATTATTGTCAATACCCAAAAAATCTTGTAATGTCCATACATATACATACGTTTGTACATGAAGAAAAATATCTTAGATAATTAGATGCATCAGACAACTGTGTGATAATTTCCACGTTAAACTCGTTGGAAATTATGTCAAAAAGATGAAACTACCTTCAGTGCCGACTTTATTTTGACCATGACCCCGTTTTATTATCAACAGTTTGTAATGAAACTCCTTTTCTCTTTTATATTGGATCAATTTTAAAGCTGGAGCCGCAGAGCTACATACGTATGTATGAGGCATGCAAAGTAAATGAATGCAGTCAGCTCATTATACATATATAGTTTGTTTAAAGTATTTTTCTTTAAGCTTATTTGATCCCAAAACTTTTAATATTTTCGATCAAATTTTAAAAGCTGCCACTGCATACATATGTATTTATTTTGCATATTGTATTTTTTAATGTATCAAAATTTGTACTGGGCGGAAAATTTAAGTATCTCGCGAAATGAGCAAAAAAAATAGTTGCATTACACGTATCACTTTTGAAGTAAATGGATCAAAAGGGCAACACTTATCGGGAGCAGAATTTGCAGAGCGAATTGAAGAATACCGGAACCGGATTATCTCGCCATTTGGAGCTTCACTTGTTCTCTCTGAGGTTTTGTTTTGCTAACCATTCGTCACATGCTCATATTTGTACAAAGGCAACTCACACAAACTCGTTCAAATTCCACAATCTTGTTATGTGGATGAAAATGTGATAAGCAACGGTTATGATCCACAGGCATGCTGCCACTAGCATCGATTGTAATTCCCACAGTGGGCTATATGCGCTTAATTCCATACCAAGTTCATCACGCTTTTAGCGCTTTTCGAGCTTTCAACGCTTTACCTAGCTGTACGCTGGAAACATGAAAACGCCTGGTGTAGAGCTCCACTATTAGTTTTGAAAACAAATGTTTGGTGGCCAATTTCGGGTTTTCGTAATCCGTCTGAAACTGAAGTATGTCCCGCATAGTAAATACATACATGGAAACCAAAAGCCAAAAGTGAACCAGTTCGGGGAAAAGGAAACTCAAGATAATGCTGATTAAGATTTACGTTAGCTGGACCGATTTGAAAATACTTCTGGAGTTTTTTATGAATAAGAAATAGTAACTTAAAGAAATCTTCCTTTTACTAATTGCTCTATTTTCTCGCAGAAGCTGAATCTCATCAAAAATAAATGCATCAGATATCATTTTTTGGTATTTTTTCATATAAACTTATTCGAGAATTTCATTTAAATTGCAGCCTAAATTGTGTTTACTTTTTTGACAGTGCCATCGGCAAAGTGATTTATGGTTCGATTATCGATAGAAATCGAACCTCAGTTGCGTTGCTAGTTGCCAAAACGATATTACAGATGGCAACTGGCAACTTTCAACTGACAACTGCAGTAGTGTGTATACCGGCGACTACATTTTTGTGGTTGCTGGGAATGTTTTTGGAGCATATTTAGGAGCGAAAATTGAAAAGTGTGTCATATACCTTACTTTTCAATAATTTGAACGATATTAACAATTTGCAATGCAGTTTGCTTTTACAGAATATGGCGAAAATAACAAAACAATAACTTGAAATTTTAGTTCCCGTGGAGTACGCCGGGCGAAACAAAAGCGAACACTGATTGCAAAGTTTTTCCTTTATCAACTGAAGCACCTCTTTTAAAACTACCGACACACCAAGTTTTCCAAATTGAAATCATTGCTATGGCACTTCCTTATGCGAAAAATGCGAAGAGGTTCATCTGTTTATTAACCAATTACATATACTACAGCTTCTTTTGGAAGTCCTCAATATGCTTTGAAAATGAACACAAAACGATAATAAAAGAAAAACCCTGAAAGCATTAACTTCTGCTTACAATGCACGCGTTAGCTCTAGAGGATTGGAATTATCCTTTAAATGTCGCCTGATTGAGGACGCGTTCATGCACTTCTCTTCCTCTTAAAAAAATAATTGTGATGATTTTATTGCTGTCTTTTCTTTAAAACTCTTTATTTTAATAACTTAATTTTACTCGCGCAGCTTGTTTACAGCCGCTTGCTGGTTGTCGAACTGTCAAATTTCGATTATCGATAACCCTACAGCAACTGACGATATTTGCCATTCGTGATACAAATTTTCTTTCCAGTTGTGTTGCCAGCTAGCAACCGAACCGTGATTGCGTTGCTATCCGTAATCGACCCATTATACGTCAAAGTCTGTATTAAAAACGTAATATCAAAGAAAGCATTTTTAACTCCCATGTTTTTCTCATTTTATCGAAATGAGTAATTGAATTGTCTATTGATACGAAATTTTATGTCGTTTTTGTTTCTACAAAAAATGCTGCCTTCTCATCGCCCTCTTCTTAGTGTTTGTGCGTAGTGGGCAAATAGAAGGTTGCATTTTTCGTTAGAAATGAAATCGGCATTAGATAATATTAACATTACCGCTCAGTGTTGTAGCCAACAACAAACCACTATTTTTTTCCTTCTGACCTGAGTAAGTAAATTCTTGTATTTTTTCAGAAACAAATTACTGATTTTTAAAACTTCCGTAGGTTTGTTACCAACTTCCGGATGCGCAAGGAGGTGTTTCCATAAATATTGAAATCGGTTGGAATCTTTATCAGGACTTAGCAAATCAACAGCTGAAAAGGTAATCACGGAGTGCTTGTGCATTTTTGACACCAAATTTTGCAACAAATGGGTGCGCTTCACAAGAACTCGGGGGGAAGAAAACATCTTGAAAGAGCACTTCTTTAACAAGTTTGGCATACCGGGTGTTACACGCTGTGTAGCCGGTACATTCGTACATGTGTAGTGTGTGTTAGATCGCCTGGTGACAGACATGCCAAGGCAAGGAATGTCATTAGCTTTGTTTCTTAACAGATTATTATCACAAATTATCACTAATTTATGCAGGAAAGCGTTTATTAACCCAAAAAAACTAGCAGAAACTAGCAGCTCTCTCTCGTTCTTCTGCTCTTATTTTTTTGGCTCTCCTGCTAATTTCTGCTGGTAAAATTTTTACTAGCAGCTGTCAAAATGGATAAACAAAAATTCGCGCCAAATATTTTCAGTGGTCAAATACATCGATCAGCTATTTACTTGCTAGTTTCTCCTAGTTTTGCGTTTCTTTACTATTTCTTTATTTCGCTCTCTGTGAGCGTAATTCTCTCAATTTTTCCATTCTTCTTCTTCCTGATAACTATCTGCTAGAAAAGAAAAGAAACAAAGCCATTGAACGTTGTTTCGGGCTACATTATTCTGCCGAAAAAAACACAAAAATTATAAATACGTGTTGCGCATTACATAACGTGTGCATTTCTTTTAATAATTAATTCCCTTACCCTCAGTTATCTCAAGACATAATGAATGAAATTGAAATTGAGTACGCACATTTTTTATTTTTACAAGGTAATAGGAAAACCATAAAATATATAGGGTGTCGCAAACCAACCGTCCACCCCTTCTAAAAAGGAGGAAAATGTTTTTTTTTTGGAAAACGCCAAAATATGAATTACCAAGTCGGGGATGTTCTATCTTTGGTCATAATACCAACTTCCAGTTTCGACCGGAAGTGGTTTAAACCGATCGGAAATCCGCAGAATCCGAATCTGCGGTGAAAGCATGCATATCCTATTAAAAAAAATTGACTTCTGCTCAGTTTAACCTACTTCCGATCGAAACCGGAAGTCGGTAATATGACCAAAAGATAGAGCATCCCCGACTTTGTAATTTTTTTTTTGTTTTCCAATAAAAAAGCAAATTCGTTCCTTTTAGAAGTGCAGGACGAATTGAGATTCGAAGGTCATTTAGAGGTTGAAAAAGGCATTTCCGAGAAAAAAAGTTTCAAATAAAACTTGTCCGCAAATTTCGAGTTTGTAGTAAGTCATGTATGTCCCATTTAAATCCCGGAACCGACTTCCGGTCAGTTTAACGCCCTTCCGGTCGAAAGGAAATACTGGCCCCTATTATGAGTTGCATTCGATTTTCGATCTTCGCTGGCTATCGAAGATCGAAAGTGATTCGTATTATGAGATATGCAAGCGTGTCGACATTTTCGTTGAGTATCGAATTTTCTGTCGAACAGAATTTTGATTTCGTTGCATGATCTCTGAAAACAAAATCATGGAGCTGTTTATAGTTTTAATATATTTTAAATTGATTTGGATCACAAAATTTCTTAATGTATGTCAAAATCATATATGTAATACGTATATTACATATATTGTCAAAATATATTCGAAAGACTGTACTTAAACTCTCACGTTTTCTGCTCCAGGCCAGTTTTTTAAGCCCTCATCCTCTGACGAATCGTTCAACCAGAACTCCGTTGTGCTAATTAAAAATGTTTTTTACCACGCTTTTATAAACTCGCTTTCTTTTTTATTTCATTTTAATTTGGACAAATTTACATATATACATATGTATAAGCACACTATTTAGTTTGCTCGATCTGTAAACAAAGCTTCTCAGCGGTGAAAAATATACTATTGTGAACAACCTAAACGAGCGAAATTCACAATAGCGCTGATCTTCATCGAATGAGCGCCATAATACCAAATGAAAATTCGTTCGATCAGCACCTTCGACCACAGTCGAAGATCGAATGCAACTCATAATAGGGGCCAATATAAATTTATTAGAG